AAATAGCATATACACAACGCTATGAACTTATTTAGCAATCTATTTTCTATAAAACCCTATTCTCTTCCTCTCTCTTCGAAAACCTAGCCGCCACCATTTTCTCCATGTTTCATCGCCACCTTTTACCACCTTCATGACCACCATAGGAGCGCCTTTGGGTATCATCTTCACCTCGAACCCAACCCGACCTTCCTTTCTCCCACCCTTCACCACCATGGGAGTGCCTTTGGGTATCATCTTCACCTCGAAACCGTTAACCATGTTGAACATCCATAACCACCATCTTACTGCCATTTACAATGATGTCAATAGAATCGCCACGCGCCCCACTGATATCTATATATCTATCTTCCTTTACTGCCATCATATTTGAAAAAGGATATGGATCTATGACAATTAACAAAAACACCACTCACCAACATTATTGTAATTTATAAGATATTGTCATAGAACATTATTTCCCTTTTCATCTCTTTTCCCCAACAACTATTTTTCGTAGCTCTAGATCCAATACACTTTATTAGTGGTATTGATCTAAATAAGTTTAATTTTATGTCTTTGGTTTCTTTCTCTCCATTTCTTTGATCAGCTTATGGAGAGGTGACTGGATATGGTTCTTGTGTATAGCTTTATTTGTTTAATTTGGTTTTTATTTGTGATATAGATGGAGAAAATGCAGAACATAGACTTTTTATTTAATTTCTATTTTTTTCATGTATATGAAGAGGTTATTATGAATAAGTTATCTGTTTGTTTTCTTTTAATATAATATATTAGACAAGTTGTTCCAAATATAATTTTTTGGTATTTGTGAAAAACTTGATGAAGGGGGCTCCATTTATTAAAGAGCAAGATATATGCGGCTAACTTGTGAAGTAGGGGCTCCATTTATTTAACTAGATGGAATGCTACATTGTAACGCCCGTAGATCCGGGCTAGTCAATTTAGAGACAATGAGCATCAAAAATGAGTTTTTTATGGAAGATTATTTAGAAGAAATAATCTTAACCAAGTGGTAGTATATGTTACAAGGGTTCCGTACATATAAAGAACGCCGAAATCCGAGTTATAACGAAGAAGTGATGGCCCGTCGAAGTTTTACGGCGAAACCGGCACGACACCGGGAAGCGTAAATAGTGAATTTATGATAGAGCGACTTTTAGCCTTAGCGATCTAAACTAAAGTCGTAGAAAATGTTAAATTGAGAGCGTCCATAAAAAGAACGCCCAAATCTGACTTCGTATGAGGAAGTTAAGATTTTTCGAAGTTTCGGCTTAGCGGTGTACAACCCGATGTTCGAATATTAGATCGAGCAATTTTTAGCCGACACAACCTAAACGAGAATCGAAGATCTTGTTAATAGTAGCGTAACGATAAAAAGACTGACGAAAACGGACTTCGGATGAAGAAGTTATGAATTTTTAACGGACCAATCCTGTCCCGGCCTGTTAAAAATATAAATTTAAAATAAAATCAAAATTAGCCGACGGAGTCTAAACAAAAGTTGTAGAGTACGTTCCCGCCTACGCGTGGATATAAAGAACGTCGAAAACGGAGCTCGTATAAGGAAGATACGAATTTTTGAAGTTGGAACTCAAATTTGCGAAGCCTGTTGCGAGATTAATGACGTCGCAGCATAAGGGCCGTTCAACGCTGATCAGGCCTCACACCAGATGAAGACACGTCGCCTTCGCTCTACGCCCCTCTTCCGAGGTTGGGTACGCCCAGCGTACCTCGGTCTTATCCGGGTCCGATGCGAGTGCGAGCCAGCTGTACGAAGCTAGCAACCTTATCCGAGTTACGCCCAGCGTAACCGAAGGCTATGCCCATCGTAGTCCGAAGTTCCAGCACTATAAATAGAGGGCCGAGGCTGCCATTCTCTTCACCCCAAAATCCACTCTCTCTCTAACTTCTTTATCTCTCTAAAGGTTCCTAAACCACTCCTAAGCCTAGGTAAGCCCCTAGCAC